CTCTCTCGCGCACTCTCACGCGCTCCCTCACGCGCTCGCTCACGCGCGCTCTCACGCGCACACTCACGCGCTCTCTCACGTGCACTCTCACGCGCGCACTCTCCCGCGTACTCTCACGCGCTCTCTCACGCGCACTCTCACACGCTCCCTCACGCGCGCTCTCACACGCGCTCTCACGCACTCTCACGCGCTCTATCACGAGCGCACTCTCACGCGAACTCTCACGCTCTCCCTCACGCGCTCTCTCACGCGCGCACTCTCACGCTCTCCCTCACGCGCTCTATCACGAGCGCACCCTCACGCGAACTCTCACGGGCACTCTCACGCTCTCCCTCACGCGCTCTCTCACGCGCGCACTCTCACGCGAACTCTCACGCGCACTCTCACGCTCTCCCTCACGCGCTCTCTCACGCGCGCACTCTCACGCGAACTCTCACGCGCACTCTCACGCTCTCCCTCACGCGCGCACTCTCACGCGAACTCTCACGCGCACTCTCACGCTCTCCCTCACGCGCTCTCTCACGCGCGCACTCTCACGCGAACTCTCACGCGCACTCTCACGCTCTCCCTCACGCGCTCTCTCACGTGCGCACTCTCACGCGCACTAACACGCGCACTTTCACGCGCTCTCTCACATGGCCTCTCACGCGGCCTCCTGGCGCCAGAGCGCTAATCGCCAGCGCGTAAGGCGCCAAGACGCAAGGCACCAGCGCACTAGGCGTCAGCGCGCAAGGCGCCAGCGCGCAAGGCGCCAGCGCGCTAGGCGCCAGCACGTTAGGCGCCAGCGCGCAAGGCGCCAGCGCGCAAGGCGCCAGCGCGCAAGGCGCCAGCGCGCACGGCGCCAGCGCGCAAGGCGCCAGCGCGCAAACAGCCAGTGCGCTAAGCGCCAGCGCGTTGGGCGCCAGCGCTAAGCGCCAGCGAGTTAGGCGCCAACGCTATACGCGCCAGCGTGCTAGTTCCCGTGCAAACTCTCTTACTCGCTCTCCCTCTGTCCCTCTCTTCAAATGGTATTGCAATGCAAAAGGAGATCTCGACAGGCAGAGAACTTGAGAATGTACGAAAGTAAATTATTTTTTCAGAGAGGAGGAGGAGAAATGGACCGGGAAAGGACAACGCACCTGAGAATCATGGTGCCTCAGAGGTCGATTCGCGCTCGCCCACCAGCTCGCGCTCCTGCAGCTACTGTCAGCGGCGACGGCGGGATGAGCGGGGGAGGCGACGGTGGGATGGGAGGGGGGGGGGGGGGGGGGGGGGGGGGGGGCGACGGCAGGCTAAGAGGGATACGACAGCAGGCTATGAGGGAGGCGATGGCGGGAAAGGAGGGAGAAGGTGGGGTGGCAGAAGGAGGCAACGGCGGTGTGAGAGGGAGAGGCGATGGCGAGAAAACAAACAGGATATCGTGGTGGTTGGCTAGATGGGTGGTGGTTGTGAGAGGCAAGGAGGGAGGTGAAGGTTGGGGTTTGTGTCAAACACTATACATGTTCATATTGTGTAGGCTATAGTGGGTTTAGCCTTAGGGGGTACAACATTGCTAGGGTTTCCTACTTGTATCACCCTGCTGCCTAGTTTCACACATTCTCGTTCAGTTCTACATTCTAACAGTTTGTTGCAACAAGGTGCAACAAATTGAAGCTGCTTGGAGCCGAACAAAACCTGGAAGTTGGGGCAACTGCCAAAAAAGTCATCGGTAAAAGAGGCATGAAAAAATTCTATATTGAGTCTAAAACAAACACTAGGGGTCTAATTGCAAACCAGTCAAAATTTGGGCACCGGGTAAAAAAAACAAAAATCATACATCTAGATTTGGAAGCTAGTGTCACGTGAAATAGACGCATACTCCCTACCCCCTATTTCGAAGGTACCCTGTACGTTTTCTGGCTCGATGTGACGGACACCCAAAGATTGACGAGGGTAGTTATCGAGTCTAGCACTTAATTTTCCGAGTGAGAAGTAGGGGTCGATGGCTGCCCTTGGAACACGAGAAGGTTGCGAGACCCCCTCCTCCGATAGTCTACAATCGTTGCTTGCTACCCTACTTAAACGTTTAACCGAGAGTATTTACCCCAGGGTGTGCGCTTAAGGGGTGTGAAATTATCGAGAATAGGGTGTAATGCCGTCACATATCCATCCAAGCATTTGAGTCAACTTCAAAACATCTCATTGTAAGAACCTGATTCAGCAATACATGATAAGTTACTTACAAGCATCAGTGCTGGAATAATATACATTGTTTCTGAATCGTTACATATTGCTAATTCGGAAAAAACAAACAAGAAAAATAACAGAACTTGATCCCATAATACTAGCAAACAGTAATTTTGTATTGATAAGTAGGAAGTAATTGGGTGTATCCATTGGAATAAATACTACGTATTACATGTATCTCGTCAAAATATGAAAACTAAAAGCGTACGTAACTACGCAACCCTTCCGACGTTCACGTCGAATCTTGTCGTTTTTGCTGGAAGCTGGATTGTGCGAGGACATTCTCCCCTACTTGATCCTGATTGGCTGGCCAACAACCCTAGCGACACTCATTCCAGTCGCAGCTCTTTGCTTTGCAAAGCTGCACAGTATCGTTCACCATTACGTCACGTTTGGCGAGACTCCTTTCCCCTTCGTCAACCCATCTTTTTCTCGCTACACTGACTTTGCCGAAATTCTTGTTTTCAAGGTTTCGCCAACACCATTTCAAACCCACATAACTTGATATTTTACCATGCTGACCTCGGGCTTTAACCATCTGTTGCTGTCACTAGCCAATCCAGCTGCGCATACAGCTAGCTCCCGCCGCTATAGTCGCAAAACCAGCACTCGTGCTTGATTCTGATGCAGCGACTTTTGACATCGTCATTCTCTGACTTTGACTTCCCTAATTTGTCCTCTTTTTATCTACGCGAATCTACCGCCCGCGCCTAGATCCGTTGCAAAACTTGGACTCTTGGTCGCTTGCCTCAATAGAAAGCACAGTGCTGGTCAGCGGGATGGAGGGGCGCGCGGGTGTGCTGCCGCTGCTGCCGCTGTTGAGTTGCTCAACGGGGACCTGAATCTGGCATGCACTGATTTGTCCGACGTTCAATGATTAATGATTCGTTTCTTGATTCGCTGTAAGTAGTGTACTGGCCTTCGATTTGAGCTGCCATCAACTGACGGGACGGGAGGCGGGTTAAACCGCCCGCATATCATTCGAGCCATGCCGCACGCTGCCTCAAGCCGAAGCTGTGTGTTTGGCATGGCGGCGGCACCGAACCGAAGGGCATCACGCCCATCAATGCCAGCCCCTCGATATTTCCGAACCCCAGTTCCTCCCGTTGGCTTTTCCGCGACTTCCCCCCCACCCTGTTCCACCTCCTCTCCCCTACTCCTCCGAGGAGTCCCCGGGCCTCCTTCCCCTTCTCCCTTTCGCCAGAGTCGTTTTTTGTGGTGTAGAGCAGAATTTGTTACTGTGGAGAGAAAGAAGAGAGGAGGATTCCTGGCATGCTTCGTCGCTTTATGGCTTCGCGCCTCGACAGCATCGAGAAGCAATGTACCCATTGGAGTGCGCGGCAGTACCCTGTATTGCCGCCCCGGCCGCCCTAGTCCCACCCGTGACCCACTCCGGTTTCGATTGACGAAGTCTGACTTCGCTTTACGTCTGAGGTGGCATGCCCGCTGGGGTTAGTGACGCGTTAGTGAATCCCCGCGGCAGCATGTCCTCTATAGCGTACAACTCCCTCCAGCCAATCCTCCTCCTCACCTCAAACTCATACCGCGTACAGACACACACACGCACTCAGAAACAGATTTCGTCATACAGTATGAGACCCTTATCTGGTGCATGTACTAGAAAAGGGTCTCATCTCATACTCCATTCTCGCTTTCGATCTCCCTCCTCTTTCTCCCCCAATTATCGCTCCTGACCTTGAGATCTTCGGCGTTTGGCAAGAAATTTGTGAGATCCGGTAATACTGTAGAACTGTAGTGTAGTTGAATTTGGTCGAGCAGCTGCCGCGTGCTCGTGTTACGTACACGGTCTTGTCGACAAGTTGCCTCATCAGGCTGATGATGAACCACTAGCCAGGCAGGCGGCTGGCGTAAGAACGAATCATCATCATGACGTGCCACGCCACTGTGGGCATGGCGGGCTTATTGTTTTGCTACACCGGGATCATGTCCGGCGAGCATCGCGAGTAGCATTGCCAGTCAACCACTGTATTGAGCATCGCGGGTAGCATTGCCAGTCAACCACTGTATCGCGGGTAGCTGGCTCACAAGGGCTGACTGTCTGGCTGATTTATGGGTTTCTTGAAGCGAGCAAACACGATATTCTCAGGACTCCTGAGCCTTTCTGTCTGACCACGGATTACTATGAATACAGCCGCTCCCTTCTTGTTGATGTAGAACGCGGTTTCTGTCTAATCACTGCTCTATTCGTCAAGGCCGGGCGCTCCGCGTGTGAGAATACGTGACGGGGCAGCACTCAGCTTGCTGCTCGTCAAACTCTTCCAGATTCAGCTTCTGCGAGAGGCTAGGAGGACGTGTACCATGCGGTTTCTGTTTGATTGGCTGTCTAGCCCCGCGGTTTGAGAATACTTGACGAGGCAGCAGCTACTTGCTAACTTGACTTGCCGCTGCGGTTTGACTCTGCAAGAAGCCAGGAGTAGAACCACGCGGTTTCTGCTCGATCAGGCGCCGCGTTTCCGCCACTTCTCTACGTAAGTCGGAGCTACTGCTACTACCGCCTCTTTCCCCTCCAGAGGAGGTCACGCGGCTAGCCACTCCCGTTTCACAAAGCCGCAGCGCCTCTTGCAAACCGGGGATAACACGAGTACGATATTATACGTACAACTACTATTGAGCATTCTAAGCGTCCTCGTGTGGCCTTCGAACGCCAAACAGCCCGTGAAACCCAAAGATCCAAACGTACCTGCTAGGACTCTGATCCAGTCTGTGACACTCTGATCCGGCCCGCATTGCCTGTCTCGTCTACTACTTTAGTCAACCGTTTACTAGGGCGTTTTATGGCTGTGGATTACCTGACGGGCGCGATCATCATGACACCCAGCAGCAGCAGCAAGCACACTGGGGCCACTGGGGCCACTCCCACTCCCACCCTTGCTGCTAGTACCACAAGCAACAACACCACCAGCAGCACTGGCGCCAGCAGCATGATAAGCGCGCCGAGGCAGCCTCAGGGGTCTACGCAGCAGCTCTCATCTGCCGCGATTCCCGCAGCAAGCTGCGGCCGTCACGTGGGGGCGGGGGCTAATCCGGGAGCCAGTGGCGCCCCCGCGTGGGCGCTGTTCCCGCATTGGGCAGCGGTGGACGCGGAGCAGCTGAGGCGCGTTCCGCAGGACGTGATGCCGGAGGACTCGCACTGCTGGCTCAAGTACGGCGAGAAGCGACTCGTCAAGTCAACCTGCCACAGGTGAGCGTGAGTGTGAGGCATTGAGTGTGGTGGTGCTTGAGAGGGTGGTGCATGCACATGCAGCAGCTGAGGCGCGTTCCCCGCAGGATGTGATGCCGGAGGACGCGCACTGCTGGCTGAAGTACGGCGAGAAACGACTTGTGAAGTCCGCCTGCCACAGGTGAGCGTTCCCTGTGGTGCTTGAGAGGCCCGTGGATGCACATGGAGCAGCTGAGGGAGGCGCGCCCCACAGGACGTGATCCCGCAGGATGGGATGCCGGAGGATGGGCACTGCTGGCTCAAGTGCGGGGAGAAGCGACTCGTCAAGTCAGCCTGGCACAGGTGAGCGTGAGGTTGATTTGGAGGTGGGGGGATCGGAAGTGAGAGCGATGGATCCATCACCATCACCATCCATCACCATCACTTTAGAGAGCGATGGATGGATGGTGATGTCACATCCGTTTGTCACCCGCTTTGGTTTCCTTCCCCATCATCTCATCTCCTTTCACCCTCCTGCCCTGGCTCCCCCCTGCCGCAGGTCATACTTCCGCTGTGCGCGCTCCACGTGCGTCCCTCTGCCTGCCAGCGGTGACACTCCCCAAGACGGCGCAGGAGCGGCGGCGTCACCCGCGGCATCAGCAGCGGCAGCGGCAGCGCCACCCGCAACGCCAGCTAAAGCAGCAACGCCACCGGCATCACCAGCAGCGGCAGCAGCAGCAGTGCCACCCGGAACACCAACATCACTATCCACGCAAGAGGCACTGCCAGCAACACCAACAACGGCAGCAACAGCAGCAACGGCAGCAGCGCGTTCAGACTCAGCTGATCAGCCTGATGCTGCTCCGGCTGGTGCTGCTGCTGCTGCAGCTGCGACGGTTGCTGTGGCTGCTGCGGATGCCTTTGCCCCTGCTGCTGCTGCTGCTGCTGCTGCTGCTGCTGCTGCTGCTGCTGCTGCTGCTGCTGCTGCTGCTGCTGCTGCTGCTGCTGCTGCTGCTGCTGCTGCCGGTGGAGCTTCTGATGATAATACCGCTCCTCATCCCAAGGCTGATCCTGACGATACTTCTGCTGCTGCTGCTGCTGATTCCACTGCTGAAGCCGACACTGCCACCCCAACCGCCGCCGCTCCCCCCACCGTCTTCCACCCCTGTCCGGCTCGCAAGCGGGTCGACTGGCAACTACTGCCTCTCACTCCTGCCACCCACTCGTCGCAGCTGCCGCCCGGTTTCGACGCTGCCGCGCACTTCCGGGCGGCAGGAAAGCCGGCCGCGTCGATCATATTCTTCCGAGTGACGTACCTGAACACGCACAACCACAGTGAGCCGCCCATTGGGCTCCGGTTTCCACCCTCTGGGGGGTTACCAGGTGATGTAGCTGCTGCAGCTTGTCACGCTGGGGGTGTTAGCTGTGGTCAGTTATCGGATGCGGGTGTTGCTGCTGCTGCGGTTTGGGCAGAGAATGCAGCGAGAACGGAGATGGTGGGTGAACAGAAGCAGCCGCCGCCGCAGCAGCAGCATTTGTTGCAGCAGCATCTGCAGCACTTGGTGCAGCAGAGGCAGCAACAGCAGCAGCAGATGCAGCAGCAGCATCAGATGCAGCAAATGCAGCAGCAGCAGCAGCAGCAGCAGCAGCAGCAGCAGCAGCAGCAGCAGCAGCAGCAGCAGCAGCAGCAGCAGCAGCAGCAGCAGCAGCAGCAGCAGCAGCAGCAGCAGCAGCAGCAGCAGCAGCAGCAGCAGCAGCAGCAGCAGCAGCAGCAGCAGATGCAGCAACAGCAGCAGCAGCAGCAGCAGCAGCAGAGGCAACAGCAGCAGCAGCAGCAGCAGCAGCAGCAGCAGCAGCAGCAGCAGCAGCAGCAGCAGCAGCAGCAGCAGCAGCAGCAGCAGCAGCAGCAGCAGCAGCAGCAGCAGCAGCAGCAGCAGCAGCAGCAGCAGCAGCAGCAGCAAGGGCAGGGGCAGCAGCAGCAGATGCAGCAGGGGCAGCAGCAGCAGCAACAACAGCAAGGGCAGCAGCAGTGGCAGCAGCAGTGGCAGCAGCAATGGCAGCAGCAGGGGCAAGGGCAGCAGCAGCAACTGCAGCAAGGGCAAGGGCAGCAGCAGTGGCAGCAGCAAGGGCAACAGCAGGGGAACATGAGTTCTCGTGGCCCTTCACGACTCCCGACAGCAACGCACACATCACCGCAACCACAGCACACAACACAGCACACAACACAGGACACAACTCAGCACGCAACACAGCACACAACACAGCACACAACACAGCACACAACTCAGCACGCAACTCAGCACGCAACACAGCACGCAGCAGCACATCCCTGGCAGCAGCAGATGCAGCCCCCGCAACAGCATCAACAGCAGCCTCGTCCACAGCAGCAGCAGCAGCAGCAGCAAGAGGAGTGCAAAGCGGTACTGCAGTCCTATTCCGCGCCGTGCTACCTAACCCAGCAGCGCTCTCCCACTACCACCTCTCTGGGCAAACGATCGCACGAAGACGACCCTTCCTTGATGTCAGAACCGTGCTTGCCCACTCATGCTCCCCGCGCCCGCTACGCCTCTCAGGGATTTAATTTCCCAACCTTGGACTCTTCTCAAGGGTTCCAACCCCCGCACCGGCTCCAGCCGTCCCCTGAACCTCAATCCATTCGTGTGGGTTTCCATGTGACGCGCGCCTCTCCTGCCCCTCACGCCTCTCCCTCCTCTCACGTGTCTGCCGCAACTCAAGTGTCCTCTGCCTCCCCCACTGCCTCTCACCCGTCTCACTCATCGCCCGCTTCTGCTGTCGCGACTCACGCATTCACGCCACCCAAGCCGATCAAAGTGAGCTTCTCTCCTCCGGCCGACCGTGAGTCCCCGTGGAGCAAAGGCGGTGTCCAGGGGGGGTGGAAGGATGCAGGGAGGTGCACTGTGGTGCAGCCGCTGCTGCAGCAGCAGCAACCGCGGCTGGAGCAGCAACAGCAGCAACAGCTGCGGCAGCAGCTGAAGCTGCAGCAATGGCAACAGCAGCAATGGCAACAGCAGCAGCAGCAGCCGCAACAGCAGCAATGGCAACAGCAGCAGCAGCAGCAGCCGCAACAGCAGCAATGGCAACAGCAGCAGCAGCAATGGCAACAGCAGCAGCAGCAGCCGCAACAGCAGCAATGGCAACAGCAGCAGCAGCAGCAGCCGCAACAGCAGCAATGGCAGTTGCAGCAGCAGCAACAGCAACAGCAGCAATGGCAACTACCGCAGCAGCAAACACTGCAGCAGCAACCACAGCCGCAGCAGTTGCAGCCACAACAACCACAGCAGGAGCAGCACCAACTGCAGCAGCTGCAGCAGCAATGGCAACCGAAGCAGCAGCAGCAGCCTCGTAACCTGCTCGCGTCGCTCACCTGTCTGGCTGTTTCCGCTGCTGCCAACCCTGCTGCCTGCGATGCTCCTCCTGCTTCCGCTGCTGCCGAAACTGCAGGAGCCATTGATGCCGCTGGTTGCGGTGCTCTTCATGCCAGTGCCGCTCCCATGGTCCCCCCATTTCCATCCTCAGCTGCCCTTGCAGCCACTTCCCCTCCAAACGCCGCTTTACATGACCCCCAATTCAACACCCCATTAAACGCCCCTCTTTACGCCCTAGTAAGTGCCCCTGCGGACTCGCAATCTCTGCTGCTCTCTGTGCTCCGTGCCAATCTCTCCCGCGCTGACCTCTTGTCAAGCCCCCACGGTGACGGCAGCAGCCCGATCGGCAGCACTGGCGAGAGGAACGACAGCTGGCGCGACGTGGCGGGCGGCGGTGGTAACTCCGGGCGGCCTATGAGCAGAAGCGGCAGCGCCACTGATGCGGGTGCGGCTCTTGTGCCTACCCCTGTGGCGGGCAGCGGTGATTGTTACGGGCGGCCTACGAGCGGAACCGGCAGCGCCACTGATGTGGGTGCAGCTGTTGTGGCTTCCCCGGTAGCGGGTGGCGGCATTGGCGGTTACGGGTGGTCTATGAGCAGGAGCAGCGCGACCAATGCAGAAGCACACGTGGCGGCTGGTGACCAGTTTGATGACTCAGCGCCACGTCAGCTGCAGGGGCTGCTGGAGGATATGGTGCCACGTCAGCTGCTGCAGGGGTCGCAGCAAGTCAGAGAAGCAGGACAGTATCGGGCACCGTCTGATGCTGCCGCAGCAGCGTTCCAAACCCCAGCCACATCAGTAGCACCAGATAAGGCACCGCATGCAGCAGCAGCAGCAGCAGTGCCTTTCCAGACCACCGAAAGCATTGCAGTGGAAGCGGAACGATCGGCGCAGCGGCAGCTGTGGGCCCCCCTTGAAGCTCAAGCCACCTCTGTTGCACCTGCCGTTGCGTACAACCAGGCGCTTCCTTTCCTGTCGCCTCTGCTGCTCCCTATCTCTGCCCACACCCCATACCAAGCAGCAGCAACATCAGCGACAGTAGCAACAGCAGCAGCAACAGCAGCGGTGCCGCATTGCATGTCGCCCCATGCGCTGCCGCAGCCTCTCGCTCCTGAGCTGCCGCCCGCTCCAGTGCCGCCGCCCGCCGCTGCATCGCCGCCCGCTGCAGTGTCGCCGGCCACTCTTGTGCTGCCTAACCTTGAAACCCCGTGCTGTCAGTGTGAGTGCCGGAAATCCCAAGGGCAGAGGCAGCAGCAGGAGCAGCAGCAGCAGCAGCAGCAGCAGCAGCAGCAGCAGCAGCAGCAGCAGCAGCAGCAGCAGCAGCAGCAGCAGCAGCAGCAGCAGCAGCAGCAGCAGCAGCAGCAGCAGCAGCAGCAGCAGCAGCAGCAGCAGCAGCAGCAGCAGCAGCAGCAGCAGCAGCAGCAGCAGCAGCAGCAGCAGCAGCAGCAGCAGCAGCAGCAGCAGCAGCAGCAGCAGCAGCAGCAGCAGCAGCAGCAGCAGCAGCAGCAGCAGCAGCAGCAGCAGCAGCAGCAGCAGCAGCAGCAGCAGCAAGTGCAGCAGCAGCAGCAGCAGCCAATGGTGCTTCAGTTGAGGACCGAAGCTCCGGTCCAAGGGCGTGTTCAGTCTGCAGGGCAAGCGAAGCCAGAGGCTGTTGTGATGGAGATGCCAGCACAGATTCAGCCCTCTCAGCTAGCAATGCAACCGCAGCTAGCATCGCCTTCTTTCACCACTCCTAACACTTCCCCCACTAGCGTGCGTCGTCCCGTCGCCTCTCTCCCTCCTATCGCCGCTCTCCCTCCCATCGCCTCTCTCCCTCCCGTCGCCAACCACTTCACGAACCTTATTTCTAGCCATGAGCAGCATGCAGGCAGTGCTGCTGCGCACCTGCACCAGTTGCACCAGGTGCCACCTGCGCAGGCAGCTCAGGCTGCTCATATTCATGCCAGCATGAGTCACACCCGAGATTTCATGGGCATGGCCTGCAATTATGTGTGTGCCTCTGGTGTTGATTCGAGCCCTGCAATTCCTACCACTGCTGCCGCTGCCGCCGCCGCTGGTGCCGCTGCTGCTGGTACTGCTGGTTCACAGACCCCCGTGGTGCAATGCACTCGCACTCTTAGCGTGGGGCTTGATGGCTTGGCCGGCATGGGCGGCATGGGTGGTGTGGGCGGCGTGGGCACGAGCGGCATGGGGGAGGACGAGTTGCTGGTGGAGGCGGCAGCGTGGCTGGCAGAGCAGGGAGGGCTGGAGGCACTTGATTGGCTGCCGGACCTGACAGGGTGATTCCTAAGATTCTTACGTGGCATTGGGGGCGAATCTCAACGCCGCAATGGGGAGAGGGCTGGTGCAGGAAGAAGGATAAATGGCGCATATATTTTCTGGTTGCCAGAATTGGGAAGCGTGTGTGCGTGTGTGCTTATGAAGGGGATAGGGTGCTGAGTGCGTGATGTAGCATGTCTTTTTAGAATGTATTGTTGGAAATAAAACAAGCTTGTTATTGTGTAATTGTATTCTTCCGAGTACATGATTCGAGGACAGCTTAACCTATTACTAAGTACTAAATCGGACCGACTTCATAACGCGTAATTGATCAGCGGGGAAAATAATAACAGCATGGAACTGATCAGTCCCAGGCCTAGGGCGGCCATGGATGCGGCTCGTGCGCCGACATGCGCGGCTTCTCGCACGCAGCTGGTTTCTCGTCAGAATTCATCGCGACGGGAACGATTTGTCCCTCCCAATGGTGCTAAAATCTTATCGTCGCAGTCGATTCTACCGTCGCCGTCGCTAGTCAGCTCGCCGTTTCTCTCGCAGCGTTCCGCGTTTGGACCTGCTGGCATTGCTTGTAATAAAGGACGACCGTCTAGCGGAGACGTTTTCCGTCAATTTGACAGACGAGGACGTACGCCAGCGAGCTCCTCAGCAAATCAACTGTCGGTCTCCGTTCTCTCTCTTTTAATTCCGCCGTGGAATGCTCCGTTTGTAGCTGGCGTTGCGGGAAGACGATCGCGTCTCGTTACTGGCAGCCTCGTTATTGGAACAAGCGCGAAAAATCTTGTAGTAACGAGGCCTTTTGCGACCGCGAGACCTCTGCTTTTAGCGAGGCCGTTTAGAGCGAGACGGTCTGTCGTATCGAGGCGTAACGGTCGAATTGACGCGACTCGCAGCGCGGAAGGGGGGAGCGGGGACCGCGATGGGCCGGTGGATGAGAGGGCTGGCGCTACAGCCGCGGACGATGCTTCCGACAAACGGCCGCGCGTCAATGGCGAGAACGGGGCTGCTAGTAGCGAGGATGATTCAATCGGGGACGCGGCGCGGTGGATCTGGGACGTGAGCGGGCGCGATCTGGTGCAGGTGGCGCTGGAGGCGAGCCGCGCGACGGACGGCCCGCGATTCCTGGCGCCGTGCGGCGTGCGACGCGAGCTGCCGCTGCTCGTGTACCTGCCCGGACTAGACGGCACGGTGAGAGGTGGTAGGGGCTAGTGGTGGAAGCGGCGCGGGTTTCGGGTTTAGGGTGTAGGTTTTCGCCTGCGGTGACTTTTGAGGCGCCTCAAAGAGTTGGCCAGAGGTGCCGGCTCTTCTGCCCGGGTACCTGCTCGGGCTGGACAAGACAGTGAGAGGAGTAACGGAGATGGTAGGAAGGAAGGAACGAAATGAACAGGGAACGCATGTACTTGTCCTTCTTTCTGTCCCTCTTCTTCCCTATGCTATGCATCGACCATCGCCCACCCACCCTACTACTCCCCCCACCCCCCAGGGCGTTCCCTTGCCCCTCTTTCTGTCCCTTCACTTCCCTTCCGTTCCTTACCCTGCAATGCGCACCCTTCCACACCCACCACCCTTCCACTCCCACCACCCTCCAGGGCGTATTCCTAGAGCGCCACCTGGAGGGCTTAAAGCCATGCTACGACGTGCGGTGCCTCTGCATCCCAGCTGCTGATACTTCTTCCTACGCCCAGCTCTCCCAGCTGTGAGTGCTGTGTTTGGTTGTTATGCCTGTAACAGTCAGTCATGCAGATGGCTGTAGCACCACTGAGTGATACGGCTGTCGCGGCATTTAGTGAGGACACGGTTGTAGCGGCACTGCTTGATGATACAGCTGTCTCTTCATTCCTGCTCTCACGAGCGTGATCCGCCCATGAAGCAGTGATTCCATCCACGCGTGACGAAAGACAGTGCCTTGCATTGAGGTGTATTTTGAGGCGCCTCACGAGCGTGATCCGCCCATGAAGCAGTGATTCCATCCCATCCATGGGTGAAGAAAGACATTGCCTTGCCATTGTAACGAGGTGACCTTGAGTCGACTCAAAAGTCACCGCGTTTCCTTCCTCAGGAGCATGATCGGCCCATGAAGCAGAGATCCCACGCGTGCAGACACAATACCTTGCCTCCAATCGCCTCCACCTCCCCCCTTCCCCACCTTTTCCCTCGCTTCCTCTCCCCCCCACCCTCCTTCTCCCATCCTGCTCCCATCCCGCTCCCCTCCCCCTCTCCTTCCTTCTCCCATCCCCCTCCCCCTATCTCTCCCTTCCCCCTCGGCCTCCCCATCCTCCCCCTCCTCCCCCTCCTCCCCCTCCTCCCCCTCCTCCCCCTCCTCCCCCTCCTCCCCCTCCTCCCCCTCCTCCCCCTCCTCCCCCTCCTCCCCCTCCTCCCCCTCCTCCCCCTCCTCCCCATCCTCCCCCTCCTCTCCATCCTCCCCCTCCTCCCCCTCCTCCCCCTCCTCCCCCTCCTCCCCCTCCTCCCCCTCCTCCCCATCCTCCCCCTCCTCCCCTCCTCCCCTCCTCCCCTCCTCCCCCTCCTCCCCATCCTCCCCCTCCTCCCCATCCTCCCCCTCCTCCCCATCCTCCCCCTCCTCCCCTCCTCCCCATCCTCCCCCTCCTCCCCATCCTCCCCCTCCTCCCCATCCTCCCCCTCCTCCCCATCCTCCCCCTCCTCCCCATCCTCCCCCTCCTCCCCATCCTCCCCTCCTCCCCCTCCTCCCCATCCTCCCCCTCCTCCCCATCCTCCCCCTCCTCCCCATCCTCCCCCTCCTCCCCATCCTCCCCCTCCTCCCCCTCCTCCCCCTCCTCCCCATCCTCCCCCTCCTCCCCTCCTCCCCCTCCTCCCCCTCCTCCCCATCCTCCCCCTCCTCCCCATCCTCCCCCTCCTCCCCCTCCTCCCCCTCCTCCCCCTCCTCCCCATCCTCCCCCTCCTCCCCCTCCTCCCCCTCCTCCCCCTCCTCCCCCTCCTCCCCCTCCTCCCCCTCCTCCCCCTCCTCACCCTCCTCCCCCTCCTCCCCCTCCTCCCCCTCCTCCCCCTCCTCCCCCTCCTCCCCCTCCTCCCCATCCTCCCCCTCCTCCCCCTCCTCTCCCTCCTCCCCCTCCTCCCCCTCCTCCCCCTCCTCCCCCTCCTCCCCCTCCTCCCCATCCTCCCCCTCCTCTCCATCCTCCCCCTCCTCCCCCTCCTCCCCATCCTCCCCCTCGACCCCTTCGCCCCATGTTCCACACTGCAGATTGGCGGGTCTCATTCAACAAGAGCAGGACCTGCGAACGAGCACCTCGCTGCTGCAAGCGTCATCGTTGGGCGCGAGAGCCATGGGATACGCCTCTGATGAGGACGGAATGCCTGCAGGGTCAGGCACAACCGCAGCAGAAGAAGCCGCAGCACCTGCACTGGAAGATGCAGCAGCAGCGGCGCCTGCAGCAGTGACGGTGGTGGCGGAGTCGTTTGGAGCGGGGGTGGCACTCTCCCTCGCTGCCACCCATGCCAACCTGGTTACCCACCTCGTCATTTGTAACAGGTGGGTGTGGGTGGGTGGAGTGGGGCGTGGGTATGGCTGTGTATCTGTCCGGTGGCAGTGGCGGGGGTGGTTCTCTCCCTCGCTGCTTCTCACTCGCACCTGTTTGCCCACCTCGTCATCTGCAATAGGTGGGCGTTGGTGCGTGTGTGTGTGTGTGTGTTTGTGCAAGTGTATGCATGCAAGAGGTGCACGTGCATATGCGCGTGGATGGGTGGGTGTGTGTGTGCCGTTCCCTTCGATTCTACAGTTTGATGATTTATTCCCTACTCCCTTTCCCATCCCATCCCATCCCATCCCATCCCATCCCATCCCATCCCTCGGACCAACCAATGCAGTGCGAGTGGCTTTCGCCGGCAGCCAGCCCTTCAACTCGGAGCGCTGCTGGTGAGCCGGATACTTCCCTGTTCTGTTCTAATAACACCTCTAATCACACCTCTAATCACACCTCTAATCACACCTCTAATCACACCTCTCTAACCGCACCTCCAAACCACACCAACGAAAGCACACCTCGGGGGCGAATTTGCAAACACACCATCGCTGCCCCAACAGCCTTGCTCTCTTAGAGGCTCCTTAGAAGCACTCTCGCTCCAGATTCCTCCTCCCGCCTCTCCCCTGCCACCCAATGGTCTTCTGGCATGAGACCCAGACAGCAACAGGTCTTTAGTTCTTTCTTCCATAAACCCCCTTCTCCCTGGCTTGATTCCCATCTTCGTGCTCTTCCCTCCTCTCCTCTTTCGTCCTCTTCCACCTCTGAGTCATTCCCATGGCCATCCAATGCCCATTTCTTTCCCTCTCCCCATGCCAGGCACCCTTTGCACCGGACATTCCCTTGTTGGCGCAGCTCTCCTCCTTGGCGCTCGCGCCTCTGCTCTCTGATTGGAACAGCCTGGGGGAGAGAGAGAGGACCCTCATCACCCCGCCCTTCAGGTGCTTTTTGTGTTCGCCAGGTGCTTTCTGCGTCTGTCAGGTTCTTTCTGCACCCTTCAGGTTCTTTCTGCACCCTTCAGGTTCTTTCTGCACCCTTCAGGTTCTTTCTGCGCCCTTCAGGTTCTTTCTGCGCCCTTCAGGTTCTTTCTGCGCCCTTCAGGTTCTTTCTGCGCCCTTCAGGTTCTTTCTGTGCCTTTTTGTACCCCTTCACCCCTTCACCTTTTCGCCCTTCACACCTTGACCCCGTTCCCCTTTTCACCCGGTCCCCTCTTCTCCTCCTTCCCTGCACCCCCTCCTTCTTCCACCCCCTCTCCCCACCAGCACGACGGTGCTTCCACCAGCAACGGTAGCACGCCGTGTTGCCATGATGTCTGCGCTACAGCCGTCTGACGCCATGCTACAGTCCATCACAGCCAGCACCCTGCTCATTGTCAGGTGGGCACTTAAAGCGAGGGTGCACATTCCTCCTGGTTGGGCAAAGGTTTTTTCACTTGCCATGCTACAGTCCGTCACAGACAGCACTCTGCTGATTGCCAGGTGATCGCTGAGGCTGTGCTACAGCTGTCACCAATGCCATACAGCAAATCTATGGCATGAGGCATGAGGCATGGGCATGGGTGAGGTCAGGGGCATGTAACATGAGCATGAGACGTGGGGCATGTGGCATGCAGCATGTGGTGTGGGGAATGGGGCATGGGGAATGGGGCATGGGGAATGGGGCATGGGGAATGGGGCATGGGGAATGGGGCATGGGGAATGGGGCATGGGGAATGGGGCATGGGGAATGGGGCATGGGGAATGGGGCATGGGGAATGGGGCATGGGGAATGGGGCATGGGGAATGGGGCATGGGGAATGGGGCATGGGGAATGGGGCATGGGGAATGGGGCATGGGGAATGGGGCATGGGGAATGGGGCATGGGGAATGGGGCATGGGGAATGGGGCATGGGGAATGGGGCATGGGGAATGGGGCATGGGGAATGGGGCATGGGGAATGGGGCATGGGGAATGGGGCATGGGGAATGGGGCATGGGGAATGGGGCATGGGGAATGGGGCATGGGGAATGGGGCATGGGGAATGGGGCATGGGGAATGGGGCATGGGGAATGGGGCATGGGGAATGGGGCATGTGGTATGGGGAATGGGGAATGGGGCATGGTGGGGCATGTGGTATGAGGAACGGGGTTTGGGCCATGTGGTATGAGGAATGGGGCATGGGGCATGAGATGGGGCACCACAATGAGCAGAAACACAATGATGAACTGATCGATGGCTTGACGCGTAAACTTGTCCCTGAAAGCCTAATCTGTTATTGACTCTGAAATCCAATCCTGAGACCTTGTGAGGGCCCATGTTCAACCTCACTTGACCCATCTTGACCCATCTCCACCCATTGCATGCATGCATGTGTGCAGTGGGGATGACTGGCTGACACCATCAGTGGAGGAGGCATACTTTCTGGCGACATGGTATATGGTGTAACCATCTTGACCCATCTCCACCCATCTCCACCCATCCATTGCGTGCATGCAGTGGGGAGGACCGGTTGATACCATCAGTGGAGGAAGCATATGGACTCGCGACGTGCATCCCATCGTGTCGCATCAAGATTCTGCCTTTCTCCGGCCACACTGCCCTGCTAGAGGTGAGTCTTTAGCCGTCTTAAAGCCCATCTCCAGCCACACTGGGTTGCTAGAGATGAGCCATCTTTTCTGGGTTGCTGGAGAAGAGGTTGGATAAGTGCCATCACACAACAGAGTAGACAAGGAAGAAGACAAACCGCAGCAAGCGCAGCAAGCTGTGTGGTGGTCTCTGTAGGCCTTTCAGCTAAGTGTAGTGGGTGGGTTGCTCTGTAAGGCTAGGTAAAAGGCATAAACCAGGCTTCTTGGTTGCTGGAGAAGGGGTTGGATAAGCCACACCGCTGAAAGCTGTACATTTTTACCCAACCCCTTCTGTCATCCCTCCCACTGTCAACCCACCCCTGTCCGTCAGTCGGGTGTTTCTCTGCGGGACATTTTGGAGGAAGGTGGTGTGCCTCCTGCCATCTGCTGCCCTCTCTCTGCTTCCTGAGCGCATCATAAGTACAAACCAAGTGCTCGGGCCACCGTTTCCCTTCACCCCCCTGTCCCACTCCGTCTTCTCCCTCTCCCCTTCTATCAGGCGGGCGTTTCTCTGCGGGACATTCTGGAGGAGTGCGGAGTGTTGCTGCCCTCTGCTGCCTTTCCTCTGGACCCTGTCCCTCCCTCTGATGACGACGAGCCTGCTTATAGCGAGGATATGAACCCCGCCGATAGCGAGGGTGGTAAGCCTGCTTATAGCGAGGATGGGCTAGCAGTGCGTGCTCACAAGAGCAGCAGTGCAGTGAGCAGCAGTAGCAGCAGTGCTTCGTCTGCTGCCGAACCTGCAACGAACGGTGCAAGCCGAATTGGTATCAGCAGCGCGGGTGGCATCACGGCACCAAGTGCAGCAGTCGGAAGTTCAGGTGAAAGTTCAGGAGTGGAGGGTGCAGCAGGGTACAGCAGCAGTGAGGAGGGCGAGTTCAGCATGGAGGGGAAGGACTGGAATGATGCTGACGTGGCTGCTGTGCTTGGACTGGCCGATTCTGCTGCCATGGATGCCGGACCAATCACAGGCCCTGATGCTGGTGCTGCTGCGTTTGCCTCCAATGATGTGTCTACAATGCCAAGAAATGTGGGAATTCTCGCAGAGCCTGAACTTGAGAGTGTTGCTGCTGCTGCCCCTGCTGCTGCTTTCCTCCCGAGAGGCCAAGAGGAAGCGATTTTTAACTCTGCTTCTGCTGTGCTGGCAACAGCAACCGCTGTGGCAGCAGAAACAGCAGCGGCCATGGCAACGACTACAGCAGCAGCCGCTGTGGCAGCGGCAAGAGTGGTGGCAGCAGAAGCATCAGGGGTGCCAGCAGCAGCAGTGGCAGCGGAAACAGTAGCAGCAGTGGCAACAACAACAGCAGAAGCAGCAGTTGCAGTGGCAAGAGTGGTGGCAGCAGAAACAGCAGGGGTGCCAGCAGCAGCAGTGGCAGGAGCAACAGTAGGAGCAGAAACTGAAGCGGTGGCAAGAACAGAGATTGGAGATGCTGGGATAGAAGCTGAAGAGGGGGAGAATGGAGGAGATGTGTGGGTGGAAGTTTCTCGGAAGCGGGAGGAGGCGCAGGGAGAGGTGGTGCTTCGGGAATGGTCTCAGGTTCGGGCAGCGCAGGCTTGGAAGGATGGGGGTTTGCTGCGGGTTCGGAAGGGGAAGGAGAAGGGGAGAGGGGAAACAGGAGGGAGAGGGGTTGAGGAAGGGGGGGTGGGCAGAGGAGGAATAGTGAGTACCTTACAAGAGTGGAGCAAGGGGAGGAGGAAGGAGG